GAAAGAAAGAAAGAAAGAAAGAAAGAAAGAAAGAAAGAAAGAAAGAAAGAAGAGAAAGAAAGGAAAAAGCTCCCTGGGTGATTTTAGTGCAATGCCAACTTTGAGAACCAATGCACCAAAAAGATCATGATCCGGAGTTTGGAAGTACCTCCTTACAGCCTGGGGTGGGGGAGGGAAAGGGCTACTTCCGGGGCCTGACAAAGACCAGAAGAAAAACCCGGTGAGCACGAGGCTGTCTACTCACCATCTCGTGAGCTGCCTACTGATCCCTCGACGGATCGGCTGATCTGAAGAGGTGATGAGACACGGATCGCAGATTGCGCGGTGTCGACTCCCTGCCTCAAGCCAGAAGTCTCCTGGGACTCCCTGGAAAGGAAAATTGCTAACTACGAGGGCTCACCGTGCCATCATCCAAAAGTGCCTGGTAACAGGGACACCTGGGTGGTTCAGTCGGTTAAGCGTCTGACTTCAGCTCAGGTCATGATCTCACGGTTCATGAGTTCGAGCCCCGCGTCGGGCTCTGTACTGACGGCTCAGAGCCTGGAGCCTGCTTCGGATTCTGTGTCTCCCTCTCCCTCTGCCCCTCCCCTGCTTGCGCTCTGTCTCTCAAAAATAAATAAACATTGAAAAAAAATTTAAACTGTTCTGCCATGACCCTGAACATCTCTTCGCCTCAGATCCTTTCATCTGTAAAGTGTGCCCTTGGACTGGATTTTCCCAAGGTCGCTTCCAACCTAACAATGCTAAGTGCCCACCCTGGCTTGGGATACAGTTCCCTGGGGCTGCATCCCAGCTCCTGTCCTCACTAACTGGGTGACCTCAGCCAGTGTCTGAGCTTCCCTGAACTTCGACTTCCTCATCTGTAACGAGTACATGAGGGTGACCGGACTGACTTTCTGGGGTTGCTGTGAATGAAATAAGATGCTGGAAGTGTTCGCGGGGGACCTCATTTACAGGAGCTGGGGCTCTTACAGTGGTTTTGCCACGCCAGGGAGCGGGTGTTATAGGATGGATGTATAGAAATTTCTAGTCGTTGGTGCCAGGAGTTATGATAAACCCCACTGGCTTAGGGCATAGTGCGTGGGCTTGGACCCCGATTCGGCTGCGTGCTAGCGGTTTTGACTTTTGGCAAAGCCTTTCTCTCTGAGCCCGAGTTTTCTCATCTGTAAAGGAGGGTTTATAAAAGTATCAACCTGATAAGGTTGCTGTCAAGGCTCAGTGAGTTGAAGGACTTAGCACAGCGCCTGATGCAGAGTTAAATGTTGGCACTTTCGATTACTTCTCGTGCCAAACCATTTTACGAGTATCTAAATCTTCACCATAACCCGGCGAGGCAGGGGCTCACTGGTCCCATCTTTCAGATAAGAAAAGCCAAAGGCCCTTCAGACATAAAACTGCCTGGGGTTGGGACTAAGGTCGCGGCTGGGACCGGAGCCGGCTCCGGACATCGTGCCCACAACCGCAGTGCCCAACGACCCCCCGCGCGCTCACCCCGTCGAGCGGCTCCGAGGTCGGGTGAAGCAACGACCAGACCCCCGACCCTCACCGCCCCAACCGCCCGCTTGTACTTACCTGCCCTCCTCCTGACGTCACGCCGTGCCAGTGCCCGGAAGTGAGTCCCGAGCGCGCAAGGGGGCGTGGCGCACTCCCCGCGTAACGCAGACGCTAGCGCGAGGCGGGGCCAAGCGGCAGGGCCGCCCTGATTTGATTGGCCGACCGCCAAACGGAGTGGACCAATCCGGGTTTTCCCTTCCCAATGCGCGACGACACGAAGCCCCACCCCCCCCGGCCCCACCCACTCTGCCTGGCCCAATCCGAGGCCCGCTTTCCTGGGAGCTCTGTCTTGTTAGGGGAAGAGGTAGGGCGAGGGTTGGCCGACTGCAGCCCGCGGGTCAAATCGAACCTGCTCTCTGCGTTTGAAAGGCTAGCGATCTAAGAAATCTTTATTCATTTTTAAATGGTTGTGGAAAAAAAAATTTACCTTTTATGAATTGCGAAAATAATATGAAGTTCAAAACAATATGAAGTGCCCATAAATAAAATATTATTGGGAGACAGCCGTGCCCATTCATTTACCCACGTGTCCATGGCTGGTTTTCCCACTCCAAGAGCAGAGTTGAATGGTTGCAACAGAGTGTGTGACCCACACAGTCTAAAAACATTTTACTACCTTTGCAGAAGTGGACCAGCCCATGTCTCGGAGAGTGGCTTTTGAGTTTACTTTTATGCCCTGTAGGGCCCAACAGAATCTGTTTCTTTGTCATTCAACAGCCATTTATTAGGTGCCTGCTGTATGCGATTCAGAAGCAAACGACACACCCTTTCCTCTGATGAGGCAGCCACTTCCACTGGCAACTTATTCAGGACAGTGTGAGAAATGATGACAATACTAATACTACATTATTCAATGCCAAGCCCTGTTCTAAAGCCCACACAAGTCAGTTCTCACGTGATCATGGTGCTGCATATTGAGTGCTCATAACTCGCCAGGCATCATTCACCAGGGCTCACCGCTCACATGTGTCATCTCAGGGAATGCTGCCCCTAGGAAATGGATACTCCCATCATTCCCAGTTTGCAGATGAGGGGACAGGCCCAGAGGGGTTAAGTAACTGGCCTAAAGTCACACAGCTAGTGGGGGGTGGAAGATTGGATCTCATTCTGCTGATGCTACACCTTGTTCCTCTGATTCCTGAGCTATGCTGTTTCGGATTGTACGCGTTAAGCCTAAGGGCTACAGGAACTCAGAGGAATCTTTGACAAGAGTGGTGGTTTGGGAGTGGGCAGGAGTGAGGCAAGATCGCTAGGAGGGGTGACTCCTGAGCTGGATGAAAAGGAACGAGGCAGAAGAAGGGGGGACAGGGCAGAGTAATGGTCACAGATCCTGATGGACAAGATGGAGCTGTGGAACTGTGTCCAACCCCAGTCTTGCTTACCGCGTCTGGATTTTGCTTGAATCTTAGTCCTGTACCTGACTGAAGAGAGTGATGGAAAAACCACAAAATGCCACTTGTAATATTTAGAGGAGGGGACGTATGAGGATCCTTGGCTTTCAAGGTACATATAGAGCCTCTCTTATCACTCACACATAAGGCAGGTGATGGAATCCAGACATCAGCCTGAGATGTCAAATGCAGGCCAGTTCTATAAAGATGTCAAATGCAGGCCAGTGCCTGTGGGGCCAAGGGGACCGACTTAGGGAGAGGAGGGTAATTAGCCAGTCTGGGCAGGGTGGCAGGGAGGGACCTGAATTCTAGCTCTGGGGACCCTCAGTGAATCATCTCATCTCTGTTTGTGTAAAGTGGGATATCTTGGCTCCACCCAGGGGAAATAATGCAATAAATGCCCACAGATGTACTTGTAAAGCATTCTGAAAAAGAGAATGCTGTGGGCTGGGAAGGGCATTCCGGCATCATCGTGCAGCTTTGGGTGCAAGGGGCAGGCTCTAAGCATCAGGAAGTTCTTGACATAAAAAGCTGAGACCTGTTTCCCTGCAATTGGCCTTACCCTCAAGGGCCGCGGAGGACCTCTTAGTTTGGGGACCTGGGGCAAGTTGTTAACTACTGTGTGGCTCAGTCTCACTATCCAAAGATAGAGATAATGATCCCTACTTGGTTGGAGAGGTTTCATGGGATAACGTCGAGAAGGCCGTTAGTATGATGCCTGGTCCTTTGTCTAGATTCCGAGGATGCTGAACTGGAAGTCTTTGCCTTAACAAATAGGCTCCCCCCTCCCTTCATCCCACTGTATAAATTAACTGATATTGGGGTGCCTGGGTGGCTCAGTTAAGCGTCCAACCTCGGCTAGGTCATGATCTCATGGTTTGTGGGTTCAAGCCCTGCGTGGGGCTCTGTGCTGACAGCTCGGAGCCTGGAGCCTGCTTTGGATTCTGTGTCTCCCTCTCTCTCTGCCCCTCCCCTGCTCACGCTCTGCCTCTCTCTCTCAAAAATAAACATTAAAAACAATAATAAATTAATTGAGGTTTATCAAAGCTGAAATAAGATCAGTACTTTTAACTTTTGGACTTCGGGATCTGAGGGCACCTCAAGGTTGAGTCTATCAGTTTATGCTAGTGAATATGGTCTGTAGGAGAAATGGCCTCAAAGAAAAGAATTGTATCCAGGATATCATCTTTAAGACCATGATTAGGACAAACTAAAATCTTTTAATTTTTAAACTTTTTTTTTAAGTTTATTTATTTTGAGAGGGGGAGGGGCAGAGGGGGAGAGAGAAAATCCCAAGCAGGCTCTGAGCTGTCATATGCAGGGCTCGATCCCATCAACCATGAGATCACGATCCGAGCGGAAATCAAGAGTCGGACTTAACTGACCCAGGCGCCTCACTAAAGTCTTTTGAAAATATTGGGGAGTTAGGCTTGATATAACCGTTGTGTGTAGACAAATGACATATGGAAGGAATTGAGTGGAGTCCCCTGACTTGTATCACCTCCTGGGCCAAGTAGATTTTTACTACAGACGGCTCTTCTCCTTAAGAAGTAGTTGTCCAAAAGCCATGAACACAACTGACAATTTTTCTGTTGCTTATTTATTTATTTTGAGAGAGAGTGTGAGCAGGGGAGGGGCAGAGAGAGAGAGAGACAGAGACAGAGAGGGAGTCCCATGCAGGCTCTGCGATGCCAGTGCAGAGCCCGATGGGGGGCTCAGTCTCAGGAACTGGGAGATCACGACCTGAGCCAAAATCGAGTCAGACGCTTAATCGACTGAGCCACCCAGGCGCCGCCCAACTATTGAAAACTTCTTAAGAGGAAGTCTGTTCCTTTGTTGCTTCTGTGATGGATTCCAATAAAAACATGAAGAGGCTAAGTAAGAAACAGAACTCAGACCCTTTGGGACAGCAAGCCTCAGCACAAAGTTTGCTTGTGAAGCTCCACTTCCCAATGATGTTTCTTCATTGTGTCCACCTGCTCTGAATCATCTGCCTTAAGGGGATGTTTCCAAACAAGTGCAACGTGGCGGGGGGGTGGGGTGGGGTGCAGGAATCAGGTTTAGGGACCACAGGACTGCCCCCACCCCATGTAATAAATCCCTTCTCCTGCCACCAGCAGCACATGTAAATGTCACCCTCCAGAAAGCTGCTGTGCACAGACCCAGTGAGGAAGGAGATGCTTTGTCAAATGAGAGTCCTGGGGGGGGGGGGGGGGCAAGACACAGAAAAAGGTGTGAAATGAGGGGGAGGGGCGAAAAGAGAGGGAGATGTCTAGTACACTGATACTTTCTAGAACATAATCTCAAACTTCAAGCAAAATGTTTAGATCGCCTTGGGGCGCCTGAGTGGCTCGGTGGGTTCAGCGTCCAACTTCGGCTCAGGTCATGATCTCGCAGCTCATGGGTTTGAGCCCCGCGTTGGGCTCTGGGCTGCCAGCTTGGAGTCCGGAGCAGCCTGCTTCAGATTCTGTGTCTCCCTCTCTATCTCTGCTCACCTCCACTCACACTCTGTCTCCCTGTCTCTCTCTCTCTCTCTCTCAAAAATAAATACACATTAAAAAACTTTTTTTTTAATGTTTAGATCGCCTTTAGTCATTACTTACCCAAATATGTCAGGGACTCCTTGTTCATTCATTAGTTGGACACGTAGTTACTGAGTGTTACTAGATGTCTAACATTGCTCTAAGCACTGGGGATGTAGCCATATGCAAAACCGTCTTTTTTTTTTTTTTTTTTTCCCTCTCGAGCTTACATTCTAATGGGTTCAGGTTGGATTGCTCTGGGCAGACTACTTACTCCCTTTGAACAGGATCTCAATTCCTTATTTCCATTCCTGTTCTTTGAGGAGAGGATAGACAGGCTTCTGACCCGTTACCCCAACCCGGCAACTGCAACATACACAGAAAGGCAGGTGGGTGCTGAAGAGAATGAATTAAAGGGATGATCTATGGCTTTTTGTCTGAACACCAGCGAGGTCAGAATAATTTCTGAGGATGCTTGGGACATTTCTACAGTTTAGCACCGCATCAGGGAGCATTTTAAAAGGCCAGTTTTAAGCTTCATTTTATTTTTCCTCACGGAAACATCAGGGCATCTTGTGCTTAAACACCGTAATTTGCCACAAACAAGCCCCTGACACTGCTGTGTTAAACATCACCATAATTTACTTGTTAGAATCAGGGATAATAATGCATTTGTCTGAGTGGTAACAAC